TATTAATCGAGATTCGAAGCTTTGGCTAATCAAACAACTGGAGTTTCGACGTCGTTTTTTCAAAGCTGTTTTGAATCAGGGTTGCGCCAAGATATTCGACGAGAGGTATGTGCATTGCAACCAAAATCTCTTATACAAGTTGTAAATTTGGCTAAGCTGATGGAAGATAAATTCAATGATATGGGTACAAGAAATTTTCCTAGCCGACATATTCTGGTCCCGAATATTAAGCCACATCCAAGTCCACCCCTATTACATACTCCCAAAATTCCTCCAAGTAATGCCTTGATTAATGTTAAGAGTTCGGGTATACCAGTTAAGAGATTGTCGGTAGTTGAAATGATGGAACGAAGGGAGAAGGGGCTGTGCTTTAACTATGATGAGAAATTTGGGAAATCACAGGACAAGAAGTTCAAATTCTTATTGATGGAGGGTCCACTCACAACTTCATCCAAGAGCGACTGGTTCAGCACTTACGATTTCCCATCCTCCCCTCCAAACACTTTTCTGTATTGGTTGGGAATGGAGAGTCCATGGCTTGTACAGGGCGTTGCCCGTCGCTTCCAGTACAGATCCAACAACTAGTTAATTTCCACATCTTACCAATACGAGGGACAAATGTCGTGCTAGTACAATGGCTGGAACTACTAGGGCCGGTAGTGATGGATTACAAGGCTCTAACCATGTATTTTCAGTGGGAAGGACAACAAGTAGAGCTCAAGGAGGAGTCCTTCATTGCTCCTACGGCCATCCATTTTAACCAAATAAGGAGGCTGGTTACAACTGATGCTATCATGTGTTGTTATCAACTAACTTCAACGGAACAATCTGGAGAAGAGTTAGAAAGCGAGATGACTGGAATGAATGAGGAGATACATAATGTTTTAATCAGAAATCAGAATGTGTTTGAAAACCCTGAGGCTTTACCTCCTCAATGAGACCATGATCATCAAATTCATATTATACCTAGAACAAAACCAGTTAGCGTGCAACCATATCGGTTCCCCCATTTCCAAAAGGGAGAAATAGAGAAACTCGTAGCAGAAATGTCGGCCTCTGGAGTAATAAGACCAAGTAAAAGTCCTTACTCTTCTCCCGTGTTGTTGGTGAAAAAGAAGGATGTCACATGGCGATTTTGTGTAGACTATAGAGCTCTCAATCAAATTTCCATACACGATAAGTTTCCTATTCCTACAGTCGATGAGTTATTGGATGAACTCTTCCGATCCACGGTGTTCTCCAAGATTGATCTCTGTGCCAGGTACCACCAAATACGAATGAAGCCTGAGGACATTCACAAAACAACATTTAGAACTCACAAGGGTCACTATGAATTTGTTGTGATGCCTTTTGGCCTCATGAATGTTCCTTCGACATTTCAATTTGCTATGAATAGCTTGCTCAAACCATTCTTGAGATAATTTGTGATTATCTTTTTCGATGATATTTTAGTGTATAGTAAAACGCAACTAATCATGCTGAACATTTACAACAGGTATTAGGGTGCTTAAAAGACAATTCCTAGTATACTAAGAGGAAAAAATGCAAATTCGCACAGAATCAAATTGAATATTTGGGCCACATCGTGTTGCTAGTGGGGTTGCTCCTGAAACCTCCAAGATTCAGTCTATGTTGTAGTGGAAAACACCAGTAAATATTCGACAGTTTCACAGTGTCCTTGGTCGTACTGGTTATTACCA